GTGCTAAAAAGCGAATCCGGTCAAAGCGGTGTGTCACAGGTCGACCCGTGTTGGGTTTTATGGAGTGGAGGCGCACATATTGCCGCGTAAGGGGCTACTAGGATACTACTTTCCCACGAGGAAACTCGCACACTCGGTCGGTGCTGTGCCAGCAATACGCGGCAACCGAGCCCCCAGTCCATTAAGAGGCAGTTTTGTTCTGCTCAGCACGTCATCATCGCTCTGATGCATCTGCTGATCACAGCGCGCAGAGGAACACTAAAACACACCTCGCTGATCACAGAGGTGGGGGGGGTAGGGTGTGAGGGGATCTGTCCCTTCGCTGCATCCCAGACCTCCGCCCTTTATCAATTCTCCCCCCTTCCCACTTCTCTCAGCCGGAGTCGATCTGATCCGATACCGAAACACAAACAGAGGGAGAACACCTCGAGGTGGTCCGGGAAGAGTCCGTTGCGTGATCGTAGAGGAACATGGCCACCTCGCTTGACCTCACGCTTGTGTTTTTCGTAGCGCCCACCCCAGCCCAAAGTGGGATAGCTATAGGCCGGGCACTAGGTTAGTTCTGACTAGCAAACTAATGCAGGTGAACGAGATAAACGGTTATCCGCTTTTCACCTTCAGGCTTTATTTGGCCTCTATTTAGCAGGAAAATTTAATTATCATGTGTGAACCCACTTAGAATAATAAACACGGCCTTCTAGATCTTATCTAAAGCTATGTAACCTTTAGAATGAGTCGTAAGTCTGTAAAGAATACAATTATGACACGGCACAAGACGTTTATTGCCCAAAATGAGAATTTAGTGACTTTAAATATAACTGCTTAATAGATGAAAACAAAATTGAATGTTGGTAGAGTCAAAACGCTTAGAATTTTATCATTGACTGACAAGTAAGAACACAAAACACAGTCTCAATAAATGTAACTGCTTAATAAATTAAAACAAAAATGAATGATGGTAGAGTCAAAACGCTTAGAATTTTATCATTGACTGACAAGTAAGAACACAAAACAGTCTCAAAAGATTTTGACCTTTTTGTAGCTAAGCCCTTTGAACTCAAATACATGAGTTAAGCCAAGGGGGGTCTATTGTGACCCTAAAACGCAAAATGGTCCCTTCACTTGTTCAAAACGAGCAGAAAATGAGAAGTACGTCCTTTAATTTACTCACAAATCCTCCGGTTCGGGCCCTTGGTGCGAAGTGAGGGTTGAGGCCTGGCCATTCAGGTCCCACTCCCTCTCGTAGTTGAAGCTCAGATGACCACTTGACTTGCTCTTGGGTGAAACGGCGACTTATTTATTTTGAAAATCATCTTAACCCGGTAGAAACAGTGTTACCGTTCCACCCAAAGTGCTTTTACACTACACTCACATAGAGTTGAGCGTCTTACTCGAAAACCCTTTGTGTTCCCATGGAGCCGGGAGTCTACAACTCTTCTTTAAAAGGACAGCCACCAAAACCAATCCATCCATCCATCCACCTTCGGAACCGCTTATTCCCAAATGGAGTAGCGGGGGTACTGGACCCTATCCCGGTGATCAATGGGCAAGAGGCGGTGTACACCCTGGACGGTCTGCGAGTCCATCGCAGGGCCACACAGAGACACACAAGCAACCTCTCACACATAAGGGCAGTTTGGAATGTCCAGTCAACCTAACATGCAGGTTTTTGGACGGTGGGAGGAAGCAGGTGAGAACCAGGTGAGAACCCACACAGACACAGGGAGAACATTCAAACTCCACACAGAAAGGTCCTGGCTCCCACCGGGACTTGAACCCAGTACCTTCTTGTACACCACCGTGCCGCCCGAGCAGCCAAACCACCGTTTGTAATTGGTCGTGTCGATAAAGTACGTAGAAGAAAAAAGAATAAACGAATAGAAAGACAGCTAAGCGGTTTTGGGTTGATGAGAGCTGCCGGGGAAAAAAAAGGAGTGACACTCAGCAGCCAGCACAGCACTTGCAACCCAGTCATGGAGAACATTTCAATAGCTTGGGCCCATGTAGCATCACAGCTACTCGTACTGTGACTGCCCCCGATTAGACGGGAAAAGGGTCAGCGGCCTCCTCACCTTTCCTCCAATTTCAATTACGGGGGCTTAAAGAGCATTCAACATTTCTTTGGATCGAGCTGACTTTTGGCGTGCGCCCCACGTCTGCTTTTTAACGGGGGGGGACGGGGCGGCTTGGCTAGCGCAGGGGTTTGTTTTTCCTTCCAGGTGCCAAGAGCAAGTAGCGCAGAACGAGACTTCAATCGTACGCCGAGCTCATTTAGAGGAGAAGGCGAACCAGCAGCAAGTCGACCAGGAGTTTCGTGCCAGCTCAGCAGCGGACACAACGGGGTGGCGAAGTTGAGACGGAAGCTGTGCCATTAGACAGCGGGAGGTTGGATGGGAAACTCCAGCATGGACATACACATGGAGATAGGGACAAATAGGCTTTTATTTATTAAAAAAACAATCTTTTCAAATGAACTGTTGGAGTTATCGGGCAAAGGTTAGTTTATGTAAAACCCTCCGACCTATAACCCCTCAAGGAATCTTTTAGGAATGACACAAACTGGAATCTCGATGTCAATGATTTGCGGCAGCGACGTGATTTATCCGGATTCACAAGCACTCATTTAAGTTGGAAATTAGTTTTTTTGACATTCATTAAGGACACTCAGGGTTCCAAGATGGAACCAGAGGAGGGGCTCGGGTGTACGGGATCGTAACTCAAGAGCGAACTGTTAGGCCGGCTTACTTAAATGTGCCATTTTATGTTCATATCCAACAGAAAGAATCAGCTTTCGGATAAAAATTGCTGCTTCGAAATGCTCACCTGCAATTTTTCCCCGACTCAGCTAAAATAACAATTGCCGGACTGGTGAAACAGTTTAATCAAAGGAATTCTCGACTCCTCGATATTGAAAGTGGGTGCGCCGTGTTGGAGTACGGTACCGGTTGACGTATTTGTCAACCCCCCCCCTCGAAATCACAGCTCCATCAATCTTTCTTGAGTGGGATTAACCTGAAGCTCCCGGTGGTTTGTAACAGCTCAGCAGTTGTCTTCTCGACATAGAATACCCGGGTAGCTTGTGATGTGAGGAGTGACCTAAGAGTGTGGAGGGTAAACGGAGTGATTCCCCCCCGGGGGGGCAGCTTGTTCTCTCTCTCAAGCCCTCTTTTTAGAGTTCAGACAAGTCCCGTGATGCCGGGAGATTAATGAAGCCGCCCTGGCATCCTGATCCCTACAGGACACACACGGTCACGGGCACACTATTCCTGTCAGATTCTGACAGTTTGTGTGCAGCGAAAAGACTTTAAACGGGATGCAGGTGCTCCTTGTGCCCAGGAGGAGGGGGGGCGTTTGCTGAAAGGCCAGCAGTTAATTGCTCCAATGCCTCTGTAAAAATAAGCACCATCAAATTGTTGGTCCATTCGAGAAGACATAAAATATATACGTCTTGGATGAGGACAAATATCTGGCTTGTCAGAGGCCTATATTTGGCTTGGTTGCCGTTTTCAACCCGGGCTGTGGAGCTTCAACAAAGCAACAAAATGAGCTGCACCAAAGCTCCAAAGACTGGGGGGATGTCGCATTAACACAGGAACTAATCTCTCTCTCTCTCTCTCTGCAGTTAAAGTCGGCCTTCTAGCACGATGCAGCAGCGCCCCTCTGTGGTCGCAGGAAGGAACGGCAGTCAAGAGAGTCCCAGAGTCCCAAAATCACCCTTTTTTTTTTGTCGGGCACGGTTATGCATCTGAAGGGATGAAGTCCAGCATCATCCGAGACCGGAAACAGAAGCCGGACCGGTAGAATGTTCCGCAATAGCCAGGTCAAACACACCATCTCGACTCGGTGGACAATTTCACGGAACTAGACTTGAATATCCTCGAATAACAGCGATTCAATGCCCCGGAGAAATAGGACAAAGAGGGAATCGATTTTATTATTTTGTTGTGACTTCCATAGGAGTGGCGGGACTTCCTACCAATCGGTGATCGGCAGTCCACAAAACAAGTGGAGTCGAGTTAAGCTAGGTAGCTACCAGTGAAAAAGGGCTCATTCGTGTCCCACCTGGACACTTAAAATGAGAAGAGAGAAGAAATGCATCTCTAGCAGCCCTTATGTTGTGTATGTATGTATGTCATTAACCCCTTATGTTGTAGCCTCCAGTGAAATGTCATTATTTATTGGTTCATCCATGTCTTTAAATGTACTGTAATATAAAACAATATCAAGTCACCGGAGATATGCAATAAGAACATGATACATTATGATAAACCTCGACAATGGAGGTAACTATGACGAATGAGCTCAGTCGACGCACATCGTCAACTGCATGAAATGTTTGAGATTAATCAGATACACCCCCAATTTTTGGAGAATCTATTCCCCATCCAACCCCCCACCAACCTTGAGGAACACCAGGAAAAGACAAAAAAAAACATGGGAAGAAATAAAACACTGTGCCACAGTTTCTCACCTAAGCAGCCTCAACTTGAAACAGCGAGTGGAATTTATTGGAAATAAATAGTTTCATACATTTCACAGCTATTGGAGCCTACATAGTAAGCAAAACATAGTCTACTTGTCTGTGTGCGGAACTACACCACAGGGTAGTTCCCGACGGTTTGTCGTGGGTGGAAAGACGATGGCCCCGGCCAGACGTTGCTCCCCAAAAAGATTGACGGATGTAGAAAAAAAACAAACAAACAAAAAAAAAGGTCCTCAACTTGTGTGGCCTCGGGAGGTGCTTTCATGCTGTTCCCCTCCAATTCATCACCAAATGACCATGCTTTGAAGGCAAAACGCTGAAGCTCCTTGTAATAAACACACAGACTTCTGTCATATTATAGTGTGGCTGTATATTAAACCTCGGATCAGTTCGTTCCCCCTATAATGGACGCTTAACATTCCTTAGCGAAACCTATCAGTTGCTGATATTTATCTAGTTTTCGGACGTCCCCGCCGTCTTTGCCGGGCGCGAGGACGATCACCGGACCTTCAAAGACTTAAGACAGCACCGCCTTGGAGTTCCGAACGCCCACCAGGTTGTCCGCGCTGACCGACCTCCTCATGGCCGACTTGCTCAGGTCTTTGTACTTGTCCTCGCAGAGCCTGGATATGGCCTGAGGAAGAGAGGGAAGGGGCAGAGGGGGGTTAACCCTTTGGGAATTCCCGAACGGCAGACGGAACGGGGAGTCCGAACGGAATTTCCGGAGGCGCCCACCTCCAGCTTTTGGGCCCGCTTGTTGCTCAGCGGCTCCAGGGGGAAGCTGAGGTTGTTGTCGTCGGCCAGCGAGCGCAGGTCAAAGTAGTACTTGGCGTAGACACTGGCGGGAACGTTGATGTTGAACTGGAGCAGCTCGAGGAAGTGGCGCTCCATCTCATTCCTGCAACATTGCGCACGATCCCACGGGGAAGGCACAAAACCGACTGGTGTTGTCACGATACTAACATTTTCAACTCGATACCGATGCGCAGGAAAATATTCGATACTTGATGCCATTTTCGATACCACAAGGATAAAAACAAAGACCCCAAAATTGAACTGAATTTCGACAGGTTAGTGTCTTTCGTTTCAAACTTACTTTATGTCACGTTAATGATCATCAACGATGTAAATCAATTAAGTAAATAAATCAGAGAAAAGGGTTGATACTTTTGAAAATGAGTATCGTATCCGGATGCAACGTTTTAGTATCGATACTTTTAGGAGTATCGATACTTTTGACAACCCTAAAACCCGACGGCGTGCTCGAGGACAAGGGGGCGACACTCACATGTCCTCCACGGTGATGTCCTTGAGGATCTGGCAGTAGTCGACGTTCCAGACGGCCTGGTCGTCCCACACCTTGGAGGCCAGCAGGATGGCGCCCAGAACTATGCGCTTCCAGTTGCAGGGACAGATGTCCATCTCGGCATACGTCAGAAGCCTCTCCAGGTACACCTGGCAAGAAAGAGTGCACATCGGTAACGCGCACGAGGCCCTCGGGGTCTGGATCTGTGGTTGGGAGTCTCCTCCTATCACTCCCTGCAGGTGTTCCTAGAGCTGTGGAAGCTGAACCTGTGGTTGGGAGTCTCCTGCTGTCCCCGTGTTCCTACTCTGTTACAATTACAAATACTGTTCCTAGTCCTATTGATACTATTAATGCCATCATTATCATTACTATCAATATCTCTACCATTTTTCGTCCAGTCCATGTGTTACTGTGTAGGCTGCCTCCCTCTGCTGCCTCTGTTCTTCTCTCTCTCTCTGTATTTCACCCCAAACCGGCCGAGGCAGATGGCCGCCCACCCCGAGCCATGGTTCTGCTCCAGTTTTCTGCCTCTTAAAAGGAAGTTTTTCCTTGCCTGTGTCGCCTAGTGCTTGCTCTTGGTGGGAATTGTTGTTCTTCCGTAAATAACCTCAGGGTTGGGTCTGACCTGGTCTGTTTGGAAAGCGCTGGGAGATAACTGTTGTTGGGATTTGGCGCTATATAAATAAAATTGAATTGCAGTGGTAGCAGATGTGCCGACGGGGGGAATTTTTCCATGGGGGGTCGGGACGTACCAGAGTGACGATGGCGCACTCGGCGGTGAGCTGCGCGGAGCTGAAAAGCGTCCGTATGAAGCGGTAGATGAGTTTGTGTTCGGGGTCCACCACGGAGTAGTCGTCCGGAACCTTCTCTTTCTGCAGAACACAAGCGGACTGGTTACTGACCGGTTCGCGAAGACCGCCGGGAAGACGCAAAAAAACCAAAACTGCCCCGCCGAGTCCGAAACACTCACCGTCAGGGGGTGCTTCTTCTCGTCGAATATGTCCAGCGAGCGGCTGGAATCTCTGCGGGAGCAGCGATAAAGGCCGTGTCAGTTAAGCAAAACGCCCCCTTTTGTGTCATTTGGATGTGGCCGAGTTCCAAATCCATGGCGTCGGGTCTGCGACTGTCCAAAAATGTTGAAAAAAAAATGGCTGCAAAGCAGCTACCATTGTAAACCCAACCTCCACTTCCTTTTGGCTTTAGACACCATCTTTTACCTGAAGCACTACGTTTCTGCGGAGCACATAAGAACTCCAATTCCTTGGGAACTTAAATAATTTCAAAGCAGGCACGGTAGTAAATTTCCTCACTCATTGAAAAAGGAAACAAACAAAAAAAAAAAATGGCAAAAGATGCGTTTCAGGACTGACTTTAGGATTTACTCCTTGGTGTTTAAGGTGTGCCACAGCTTGGCTAAACAGGCACTCAAAACGCGCCAAATAATCCATTAATAAAAAGTTAGATTTTCAGTGGGTTAAAGACAAGAGTCAGTATTAAGGACGCCTCGCTTTTTGGCGAAACGGCCGAGAGCTCATTCCTTTCAATGTGCCGTTGGACGATCTGTTTCCGACAAAGTGACTGTTTGTTTCCACTAAGGAGCCGGATTAGGGGCTTAGGGAGGTAACTACAGGTTCAGCTCGAGATTTCCTGCAACACCACTGACTTATCGACTCTCTGAGAGAATGACAGCGTTAGAACCCGTACGGAAAAAAGTCCATTTCCAAATCTGTCTGGGTCAAAAACTGATGACGCAGTTCGCCATCAGAATCAGATGCTAATGTTACATAACCATAGACTTGATTATTCTAAAGCTTTTTACTGTATTAATACATAAGATGCACCTTCATTTGAGGAAATATCAAATCCTAAATCATTCTGTTTATTTATGCATTCATCATGTGACATTTTCTTCCAGCTGTGTCTTTGGAATCTGTTGGGAAATATAGAATGGTAATTACACAGTTCTGTTTCGTACCGTCTCTAAATATCTCCTAGACACACCCCGGCCAGACCGAGCCTGTCCACTTACACGAGCCCCACGTTCGGCCCCGAAAAAAACCCAGCACGTGACCTTTGCCTAAAGGCTTTTTATGACATTTCAAACTTTCCATACCTGTTTTTTATATGGTAGTAGATGGCCAACGCAACACTGAAACAGACAAAAAGAGAGATGAAAACCATGGGAAATACCTCGGAAACGATCATCAGACCAACTGGGGGGGGGGGTCCGCTTACCATTTGATGGTGCTTTTGAGGTTGGGCTGGCTGACTGTGCTGTCGTCGATGAATATGGTCGAGCAGGAGCTGAACTTTTTCGTCAGGATGCCAGGGGACGTTTGCTTTGGAAACGGTTCGGAACCGGAGGGTTATTTTGAATGAAAAGTCGTGAAATGTTTGTTTTTTTTCTTTTTCATTTTTGTATTGTTTGAGTTTACAAAAAAAAAAACTGCCAGGACTTACGTGGTTCATGTAGTTGCTTTTCCTTTTCTCGCGCACTGAAACTGAAAGGCAAGCAGAGTGACATAAATAAATCAGCATAATCAATCAATACGTGTGTGTGTGTATATATATTATATAAATGAATACTTATACCGACCATCTGTTTGGGATTTGTTGAGGAAGAGGGTGCTGGCTCTCGGGTGGTCCGATGGATTTTCCTCTTGAGCCAGTTCTATAAGGGGCAAATGTCAGGAGATGTCAGGGGCAAATGGCACCTTTTTTGATCCAGAAACCCACACCAAGGTGAACGCATCCACAGAGAGACATAAAACGCACGAAAAAAAGTGCACGGCATGGCACACACACAAACACACCATCGGGGAGCTCCCTGTCGCTGATGTGCTGCAGGTAGGTCCCGGTGTCCTCGCTCACGTCCTCGGTGGTGGTGATGGGACATTCGTCCAGCTCCACCTGCCTCCGGCGGATCTTGGGGCTCTCCCCGGGAGAGATGCAGCAGGACACGGACCCTCCCATGGCTGACTTACGGCAGCTCGCTCACGCTCCCATAGAAGTGGGGGCTCACGCCAACCGTGCTCCAAGGGGTAAAGTTCAACCACAATCTTGAAGGGGGGCGGTTTAAAAGACTTCCGCCTCTGTCCATGAATCTGCCTTCATCCTATCCAGGTGGGACTGGCTATCAAAATAAAATAAAAAGTTTGGGTTTGGTTTAACGCGGGCCAAGTGGAGCTGTTATCTGGAGAAAAAAAAACAATCCTGCTTTCAGACCAGAATGGGCATCCAAAATAAGGACAACCCAGTGGCTAGCAGCGGTATGTGCAGGACAGCTGACATATTCAGGGCGTGTGCGCAGCAAACCCAGGGTGCACTTCTCCAAGAATTACATGCGTGGACCGAGTCGTTTTTTTGGGACGGTGGATAGGCAACGGCGACTCATTTTACGGTGCGAAAACCCGGCACGACAAAGTCACAAGCTCCTCTATTTCCCTCCATGGCCGGCAGGCTAACGCTAGCTTCAGCGCCTCAATTCATTCTTTTCTCTCGCCTTCCGCGGCGTCAACGTCCTAAGCCCCCGAAGGCGAAGGCTCTACCACAATTACAGGCCTGCCACGAAAGGTGGAGAGAGTTTTAAGGAGTGGGAAAAGACTCAAATGACAAGCAAGAAGGCCAAAAGGTTGCGGATACAAAAACCATCGCCACCGTTAGCGCTCATCTCGTCGCATTTACGGCAGACACGTCTAGGGGGTCAAGTTAGTTTTCGCCAAGAAAGATACTTCCGGCTATTTCCTTCAAGTTAAAAGTCTACCCATGTTTTCGTACCGCTATACATCCATTTAAAAGACACTGTCTATTTTTTTTTTAGCTTGAATGATAAGGTATAGTGTCCAGGGCGTAGCCAGCCCCTTTCCTGGTGCCAGCTCGGATCCTACATAAAGTAAAATGGGTCAGTGAAAATGGACACGCCGGAATCGTGCTTTTACTTTGAACAAAACGCCGCAAATGAAACGGAAAATGTAGAGCTGCTCAATATTTTTAACTTCAAACCAACAGCGAAGGGCACGCCCCTTCAATTATCAGGAGAAGAGCCGTTGAGAAAATCCTTTGCAGTTACGCCCATCTTAAACACTGGTTTTTCATTGGTTCAAATCGTTTCCGCTTTGTTGATGATTGGTTGAAATTGGTCATTGATATGTCGATAACCATTCATCCGGATTATATTTTGATTAAATCGTTAAAAAACTGTGATACACTTTCTTGATAGAGCTGCATGATTCCTAAATGAGTAGATATCGTATACAGAGTGAGACAGAAAACTGAATCTATTTTTGTGTGACGAAGAAAAGGGCAAATGTTTTCAGTACAACCTTACCGAAAGATGGCGGTAGCAGGTAAGTATATGGATCGAATGTATTGAAATACCATAGAAGAAGAGCTGAGCGCGACCGTATAGAGTGCTCACTCTTTATTACGAATTACCATATTTTCTGATTAATAAAGGCATGGCTCTTGTTCCCTGTGTTGAGGACTCGTTGCCTGTGCTCTCAAAGCTTCATAATTCGTCTGCCCAGTTCCGCTTTGCTAACCACGACATTAGCCTCGCTCAGGACTGGAAAAAGCTCGGGGTAGCGGCAGTTGTCTGGGATGCGGTAGGTGACACAGCCGTTAACAATACCCCATTTTTGTCCCCCCCTCCATGTCATAAATTGATTATTTTTTTCCCAAAATGATACTCCACCTCCCTAGGCAGTTGTTATGTGTATGTACCTGGAGATGCAGAAAGTTGAGTTGAAGGGGAGGCGGGCAATAGAACTCGGAGCTGGGACTGGACTGGTGGGCATCGTCGCAGCACTACTGGGTACGTGTATAGGTTTGAAAATATTTACGTTAAAATTTTTCTTCATAGAAATTCATTATATATATATATATATTTATTTGGACAATGTAGCTCATTAAAAATAAAATTTAAAAATTGACGGAATAAAAAAGTTTTTTTTTTTACATTTCTAGGCGCTCACGTGACCATCACAGACAGACCCCCAGCCCTCGACTTCCTGTCTGCTAACGTGAAGGCCAACGTCCCCCCTCAATACCTCGAAAATGTCGTCGTGTCGGAACTGACCTGGGGCGAGGGGCTGGAACGCTACCCGGCCGGGGGCTTCGACCTGGTTTTCGGTGCCGATATCGTTTACCTGGAGGACACCTTTCTGCCTCTGTTACGGACACTGGAGCACTTGTGCTCGGAGAGCACGGCGGTGCTGCTGGCCTGTAAAATCCGCTACGAGAGGGACGTTAACTTTTTGAATATGCTCAGGCAACGCTTCAAAACCGAGGAGGTCTACTACGAAAAACAAAGGGACATACATGTATACAAAGCCTATAAACTCCCACCGAAAAGGGACTTATAAACCTTCCGCCGTGTGTCATTTAAATAATAAAACCGAAGGTCTAAAAAAAAAAAAAAAAATTAAATCGTGAAAATTTACCAGAAACACATTTATTAACAGCTGCCAAAAATGTAATATTAGAATAGCTCTTACATAATGCACTGTATTATACAAGTTGGTGCTGAGATTTACAAATTGTGAGTTTAAAAAAAATAAAGCAACATAAAAAAAAAGCATACTCTTCAAAGACTATACATAATACCTAATGATTATAATATGGCATTCCATTTCTGTAAAAATATTTTGTTCACCGTATTTTTTCTTTTTCTCTCAAAGTTTATCCTGTTTGGTTGCACTTTACAATCCTCTTTCAGGTCCCGTTCGACTTGTACTTGGGCTCATTCTTTTTTTGTTACTTACATCCTGTGTGGGTATCGTATCGTTGCGCGTTATTTCCAGGCAGAAATCCAAAAGTTTCAAATGTTCCAAGGATTGTAAATGCAATAGAAAGTGCACATGCCACTTTGTTTTTCCTATGAACAGAATTTGGAGACACTAACAACTCGAGTTTTGTTAATGCTTTACAAATTAAATTCATTTTCCCCTTTTAAAAAAGGAGATACAACATACCAAGAGGGGGATTTTATGATTTGATTGACCTGTCTGTATCTGTATATTTTTGAAGAAATAAGCAGATATATTATTTAATTTCAAAACTATTAAGGCTTGTTGTTTTTGGTTTGTGTTGGAAAAAGAATGAATAAATTATTAAAAATTTTCGTTTAAAAAAAAAAAAAAAGGTTGGGGGGGTTGATAACCCATAATGATAAAGCCAATTATTTTGAAAAATGAAATAAAGATTTTAAAAAGAACTTTACATGATGGTATGTCATGTCTTCGTGGCTCAAAAAGACGCACAGGCTTCAGTGCTCGTGTAGATCGAGGAACCGTGATTTTAAGTGGCATTAAAAAATAAATTTATAAAAGCAAATACCCATTTTAGAAGAAAAAAAAAAAAAAAAACTTTTTTTTTTATGTCCAATGAAATAAAAATAGCTTTAAAAAAAAAAAAAAAGAAGACATTATGGAAGCATATAATCCACTACACAATAAACAAATACAGGTTAAAGATAAAATGTCCAAGACAAGGCCCATCTACAGTTCGAAAGCGGGATTAAGTAACAGATGTTGATGCGGGAGCAGGGGGGGGTTACGAACACAAATTGCTGCACGTGATCCAAAACCGAGGAGCTCCGTGGTTGGTGATGGTTGTCAGTTCCCCCGTTGCTGGTGATGTCGCCTGCTCTAAACCAGGCACCAGTGACTGGAATGCTTCCCAATGCGGTGTCAAAAAAATAACGCGAACAGCCCCCTTCTGTTCTGTTCCGTTCCGTCGTCTTCTACCTTTTTTTTTCTGGGAACCGATAGAAAGATTTAAATTTTCAAAGGTGGAACGGGGATTTTTTTTTTTTTTTAAACTCCTGGCGAGTCAATTCACAGATTTTTCAGCAGTGTTTTTTTTTGTGTGTATTTTTTTAAAAAGAGCAAAAGAGTAGAAAAGGAAGGGTGCCCTTCCGATGTATGGCTCTGTGCTGAGTCTCTGTACATGGGGACTGGTGGGAGCTCTTGGTAGGTTTCCTCTACTCGGATTTGTGGCAGTACAAGTCTTTGAGGGCTTTCAGTTCCTCGATGAGAGTTTTATTCTGGTTTTCCAGCACGGCCACGCGGTTCTCCAGACACTTGACGTACTCCTTCTTCTTCCGGCGACACTCTCGGGCCGCCTCCCTGCGGGTCACAGAGACCAGGTCAGGTTACCCGCCCACGTGGAGAACCCCCTTTTGCCTTTAGAATCAGGAAAGGCACAAGCGCGCCTACCTGTTCTTCATCAGCCGGACCTCCCTTTTGCGCGTGACTTCCTCCGTGGCTCCGGACGTTCCCAGCGCGGGCGAGGTCGCCATGACCACCCCGGGAGTGATGGCGTTAGTGGTCGCCGTGCGGATTTGGTAGGCCTGGACGTCACCGGAGGCGGCTGGAGAAGAAGGCAAGAGGCCACGCGACCAGCGTTATCCAAGAGATCGAAAAGAAACGAGGTTTTCGGGAGGAAAATGACCGTTCTTTACCTTGTACGACCACCTGGTTGCTAGGCACGAGGATCTGCTGGCCGTCGCTGGTCTGCGCGTACTGCAGGATGGTGGTTCCGGGCTGGGCGGCGGCGGCGTTGGCCATGGTGAGCGCCTGAAGGCCCTGGACCCCGTCCGTGCCGTTATTGGCCAGCTGGATGGCCCCGCCCTGGGTGATGGCGACTGCACAAAAAAAAAACGTTCTCAAAACGCGTCGCTCTTCGCAGAGGTGCCACGGAAAGAGGGTATTTCCCCTAGACAATGGGCTCCATTTTCACCGGTTCTGCTCAAGATCTTTGAAAACCTACCAAAAAATATAACAAACTCTATACTTAAGCCCAACTTATTACCCTATTCTTTAGAGGAAGATAAGATTTCATTTTTGCAAATAATTGTTTAACTGTTTTTGTTCCAAATTCTACACCGGGACACATTTTAAAAGGGGCTTCCCGTCTCCAAAAGTACGTACTGTACTGGCCACTGCTGGTCTGATAGATGGGAGTGGGCATGGTGACCGTGGTGATGGCTGGGGAAGTGTCGTCCTCTGATTTTTCCTCCTCAATTCGAGGCACCGCCGGAGCGTCCGACGATAAGTCGTTCAGAATCTTCCTGCAGACAAACGGAGAGGGATGTTAAGAAAAACTTCCTGGTGCATTTATTCCACAGCCTTCAAAACAACCCAAGTTGTTCATCCTCAGGAATGGACGTTAGCTGTATTGTTAGGAAAGCACCAGCTATAGGTTAAATATAGGAAGAACGGTCAAATGAATAAATAACGCTTTCGTAAGAAGTCCACAACTTTTTTTTTTTCCCAAAAGGAAAAACAGACCTGTAAGAAGGCCGTCTGGATAGAATCTCTCTTCTCTTCTGAGAGTCTGTGACGCTGTCGACAGATTCCTGAGAGTCCTCGCTCTCAGCAACGGTTGAAATCTGAAAATCATTCGAAAATAATCACGCAAGACCAATCCGAAATGTTGTAAAATTTCAGCGCTGACAGACACAGAAAAAAACCTTAACAGCAGTTTTGGATCTTGATCAGATTCCAGGCACAATAATGTAAACGTGGTCTTACCTGAACTGTCTGGACCTGTGGGGACTGAATGACGGAGGGCTGAGCTGCCTGGATCACTCCGTGCACTTGCACCGTTTGACCGTTGGGGAGCTGGACTAAAGTGACCGTGGGACTACTGGACGACACCTGGCCCGCAATGGACGCCTAAGGGGGCCACGACAACACGCCGAAAAGAAGAATTACAAGTGTTGCCGAGGGCTTATTTACACAGTTTGCTCCTCGGTGTGCACATTCGTCAAAACGACTCGCGTTACCTGGGTCAGGGTGATCTGCTGGGCCTCAGATTCTGAGACTGCCGTTTCACCGCTTTGCTGTGTGTCCGCACCAGCCTCCATGGTCATTTAAATGCTGCGGAGGAGAAAAGGAACTGCTCAAGAGTCAATAAACCTCCCTATTGAAAGGCAGTCTAGCTTTTGAAAACAACCGCTACAATAATATGTATGAATTCCGTTGATGTGATTTTAAAGTGGTGCTTCTCAAAGGTAAGGAATGGTTGTCAATGTTAAGAAAACTTTTTTTGGGGGCCCTAAAAAAAAAAAACTGGAGCCACAAAGTTGTAAATATTGAAAATACAAGAAAGGGACTTGGATACACATCTGAAATCCACATTAAATAGACAAAAGTGCATGTCAAACTTATTAGCTACCCCAGAAACGTTTTTTTTCTACATATAACACGTTTCTTTATTTTATATATTAATTAAAATTGCAATATTTTGTATATTTAGTTTTCCTTTTTTTCTAGTTGACTAATTTTCATGTGGTAATGTAAATACTCCAAAATGATACACGTTCAAGTGGCGGTTATATTTATGGTTACACATCAGACTATAAACTCATCTTCGCGAAATATCGCGATATAACCATTCTGCTGCTTGAACCAGTGTGAAGTCGTCCAGTGGAAATCAGACCCTCTGGAGGTTCAACGTTACTTGCTGGGTTTTTCAAAGGAGGGTGTGGTTTAGCTTAGCATGCTACAGTATGATTTATTTCTAGCGGGATTTGAGTCTTGCTGACTATGTATGTAAAGCTCAACATGAAGTGAATTAAAGTTTAAGATTATTTCATGTCGCATTCCGCACAAACAGCTTATGCTACGGCTAAATAATAGCTTAGCACAAATAGGGACAGTGTTGTCAAAGTTAGCATGAACGTTGGCTAGCCCCCCGCCTCCGTTAGCATTCTTAACTCGCAAAGAGGGATTTTTTTAAATGTAATAATTCAGCGGAAAAGGTAGTGCACGTATATCAAGAGTATGATTCAGACACGTTACTTTGGTTTTATTTAAATGGCAGTTTCATATTTTGGCGCTTAGCTTAAAGCTACGGTGCCAAGCTAAACACACGCCGCACTGGCTGATACCGTTAGGTTACTAGCTTCAAGCTTGCTTGGAGGGAAATGTCTGCATGCACTGTATGTCTTTTTTTTTTTTTTTTGCAACTGGAACACCCCACTTTCTCTATTTAGATGTGCCCAAACAATTAAAATCTAAAACACACAAATCCATGCTAACGGTACAATGTTTACTGCTTTATAAACCCATGTTCATAATGTTTATTAAATAAGACATCCAAGCCCACTCCCACATTATTACCAATGTCTCAGTCGAGCCAGCCTTGCAGAGACTGACTCATTTTGTGAGCCTCTGCAACCCCGCCGCCATGATCTCTTTGTTGGCTCTATGCGGATATTAGGCACAAAAAAACATCTCCGGGCAGCCATATATCTGTTTAGCAAACATCGGATGCGTATCCTCTTACCAACACAGACTCGCTTCGTCACTCCCGGGTCTACGGAGCTCCACTTTTATTCAGACCGACACGTAAGAGACCGCGTCAGGCTACACCTCCGTCGCGTCACCGAGAACAACAACACGGAGAGGAGGACGAGGGAAGACGACGACAGCGAAAAAACCAGCTCCGCCGAAAGCGCTCGACGGAAGACGGAAAGGTACGGAAGCTCACGTAAAATGCCGAAGGAGGGGGCTCAGATCGCGGAGATTGCCGAGGGAACTGTCAGACTCTGACCGGACGTAAGTTTAAAAAATAATACACGAAGAAGAAATCTACTTATCTCTCTGTTTATTATTCTACCAGGTGTAATTAATTTAATTAATTAAAATCGTATGAATAGCGTTGTGATGATATTTATGATACCAAAATTGGAAAAATAAACTTACAATGAATATTCATTAATATGAACCTTGAACCCTGTCAAATGCATCAAGGTAAGCTATATTCATATTCAAGTTCACGACCCTTATGATGTTGTTTGTTTACTGGTATGCATCATTAACATAAACTGTACAATACAAAACTGTGCAAATCTTATTGTTCTATTGACCTGTGCGCATATGGACACTTAGTACCATAAGTAAAAGTAGGCTATTTTAAGCTTGTCTAATTTTATATATATTAGATTGTTCATTTTTAAAATGAAAAGCAGCTTCAATGTGCACTCATACTGACACACTCCTCACTTATGAACCAGGCTTATTATCAAGTTAAGTGCAGCTACCAATGTAAAATTATTATTTTTTTCTAGATAACCTTATGCTTTTGCAACATGATGCTGGTGTCTATAACTGTGGCATGGAACTTATGACATTTGAGGATTCAAACAGCGCTGCAAAGTGACTGATTTACTGCGTAGTGGCTGATCCAAACATAGCCTGAAGTCATTTCCCTTTGACATGTGCAAAGTTAAAGAGGCTTTTATTCGATTTCAGGTCTCCAGTTACTAGATATAGAAATGAGTTTGGATTTACTGTTTAGTTACCAGACTCCTAAGACCAAAGCTCCTGCTCAAAACTTTGGGAGGGCGTCTGTGTGGCCTTGGCATGATCTCCTTGAGTGAGATATCTTTTCGAACATGGTAATTCATTATAGAATATGGATTAGTTTTATGTGCCAACATTTCCTCAATCCTTCTATTGCCTTTGGGTTAATTTAACCTGTTTCAGAAGTTTGTATGTTGTTGTAATTGTAATTTTCTTTCACCTGAAATTACATATATGAAATATATTGAACCTAAACTGAATGCAAAATTTGAGGTAATGTGTTGGAAACAAGTTGACCAAAAGGTGTAACAAAGAATTGTTTGGTATTTTTATTATCCAATCCATTTTTACTATCCGATCATTTATAGCAGTCAATAGGTGTGAGTGCCCTTGAAAATATTGAGATGGTTTTAAAATCAATATCCAGACCAAACTGACATAAAAACAGACTGAGGCTTGTGCATGTGATCATATCCATGAAAAATAATTCTGAACTTCTCCTTTTCTAAAGATTTCAGGGATAATTTAAAATCATAAATGTAAATGGAAGTAAATTATACATTTTCTAAAACATAAATAAGTGTAAGAGATGTGCTTATATGTTGGGGACAGGTTCACTTAGGTGAAAAAAAAAAGAAAAAGATGATAAATGTAGACGAGTCAATCTGAAGTAGTGGGAAAAAAGGTGCATTGTAAATGGAAAGAAAAAACAAAGGTAAAACTGTTTGAAGAATGCAATAAAATGGGGTTAACTGATGTTTGCAATAATAGAATAGGATAACATTCACGCCAACTGAAAAATAATTTTAAAAAACATGAATACGCTTTGGATAAATTAATTTAAAAAGTCATATTAGATTAGATTTGATTCTGTTTAAAAAAAAAACAGAACCAAAAGAAAACCTTACAAATAAACGTATAAATAAAAAGTAAAGTGAACAAAATATACTTTTAGGACAACCCCATATGTCTTAAGATGTATGATATTTCTTTTGCAGCATCATAAACTTATAATTCCAGTGTTGTTTATGTTACTTCATGTGCAGAACATTTTTGTCCCGAGGCAAAAATAATCTATTCATTATTTTTCAATTTACACTGGATGCAATTAGCATGGATTGGATCATGGATTGCGCTCTCCTGGTTGTACAGGTGGTGGCAGCAAAACCCTTCTCTGTTTTTTCTCCGCCGTGGCAGTCGCAGCGTCGACGGTGTCTCATCACGTAGCCTTTAATTCCGGCCAACACCATCAGTAACACCATCAGTAATCTGTAAATCAGTCTTTAATCAGTCTGCGATTTCTCTCAACGAGCCGGGCGACTTTAATGAGAAAAACAGCGAGCGTATTACTTAAAACGCTATTTACAGCCGTCATTATTCACATTAGGTCTGCTTTTTCTTCCGGCCGTTGACTGGAGCTGTAAAATGTACTCATTAACTCCATCGCTGGATGTGCGAGGGCTGTCGGCGGTGGGAAAAACGAAATGGGTCCACAGCTGGCCAAAATCCTGTGGGGGAAAATGAGACCTGAGACCAATTTATGGCCATCATCTCTACGTGCGGGGTAATTTCAGAGCCCTCTTAATACACGCCAGCAAACACACGCGCCTGTCAAACATACCCATCTTCACCTATCGGGTGATTGACTACACCAGTGGCTCCAACGTATGCCGAAACCAATCTTCTGTCCTTGCCATAAAAACTGTCTGAGGGGATATCTGCCGGCAAAAGCTTTAAATTTCCACACTTTTTTTCCCGTATTTCCAGGCACCCGGACGGTTACGAAAACCCCCTCATTTCAAACACAATGAATATTTCGTCATAAGCCAGGATTTTCTTTTTTCCATTTGCTCGCAGGTCCACATCAAGGATCAGATTGGACATTGATTTCCTTTCGTAATGACCACCAGCCGGGATAGCTTTAACAAACCGTAATTAGCCTGAACCAGAGCAGAGGTTTCATTACTTATCAATAAACGAGCACTCAAAAGCTGTGTACCTGCAGATTATCTTTTGCGCCGTTACTGTTCAAAATGGATCTACGATTTATTCCAGTTGTGCATGATTTGACTGCTTCCTGTTATCGGGCCTCGAAAAAGAGCACACATCAACCCCTAAGTCATATTAGTCTGGTTATCGTGGCATGATAAGCTTTTAAAGTCCTTCTTTTTAGCCTCAGATTAAAAAAAGAAGGCCCTAAATGTATCTTTAGGGGTACAAAGGCATGGAACTGGGGTGGTATCCGTAAAGATCCTGCTATTGTGCCCTTACCGCCTCCTTCTAAAGCCTGAAAGCAGGACTTGACTCATTTAAATGTCTTTACTGCTCTTGATTTACCGTTCTTTCTTTCATTGTTGTCCATTGAATGGTAGATATATGTACCAATTACTACTTGCTAACTACTTACTTAAATTGGTGTACCTGTCAAGCCCTCAGAGAGCACAAATATTTTCCCGGGGGTCCAGTTATTGGCCTCTATGGGGTACGTGAGTCGAGAAAGTAAAGCAGAAATGTACTCCTTCGTATTACTTTTTTTGGTCAGTGTGTGACAAAGATTTTAATT